TATATTATTATGTGTGTGTGTGTGTGTGTTATATATATATATATATATATGTGTGTGTGTGTGTGTGTGTTTGTGTGTGTGTAAACTAATGTGTATACGCATGAATATATCTATTTATGGCTCATACATACAAATATAAGCACACCTTGATTTGTAAAATCGACATCTAATGGACAGCCATATATCCACGTGCTATGCATATAATATACATACATACTCACTACTTTATACTCTCCCCCCTCATTCATCGCTCGCTTAGCCTTAACCTATACCTCATGTGCCATCTGATGTGGATGAAGGTCCACTGCTTTCTGCGTGAGATGAGAGACAACGTTAACTTCGCCTACATCAACGGTGAGCGTGTCTGTGAGTGGCTTTGTGTGCTTGTTTCCTTCCGCACTGCTTCCATCTTCTTAAACCGAGTGCGTATCATCTCATTCGTATGAGCAGAGTATTGCCTTAGTTGTGTATCTGATATACATCTGAGTGCGTATCATCTCATTCGTGTGAGCAGAGTATTGCCTTAGTGTGCATGTCGTATACATCTGAGTGTGTATGTAGTTATACATCTGAGTGCGTATCATCTCATTCGTGTGAGCAGAGTATTGCCTTAGTGTGCATGTCATATACATATCTGCTTCCATAGTCTCATACAGCCATGTGATTGGTGTGCGCTTCAACCATCCGCCTTCCTATCTTCTTCCAGCCTGCACTCTTATCCCTACGATACAAACCCTAAAAACCCTAAATCCTTATGTGTACATCTGTTCATATCAGTGAACCTAATCCAACGCTTATGCACTATCCCGCCCATAAGACCACCCCAACCACACATGTCTCACACACTACACACACACACACATACACACACACACACACACGCGCGCGCGCGCGCGCGCCACTGTCCGTCTCTCTCTGCACACAGGTGTTCTGCGCCACACCATCGCCAACCAATACGAAGTCATCCGCTCACGCCTCAGCTCAGCCGCACGCGCAGAGGCCACGTCTTGCACTTCTGTGTTCTTCTTAAGCGCTCGAAATGTCACGTGGTATGTGACAGCAAACTCACACCCACTCTACACCCGGGAGTGTGTGTGGCTAACATCTACCTGCGTGTTTAATGTATATATGTGTGTCTAATGTATATATCTGCGTGTTTAATGTCTACTTGTGTGTGAATTTGCGTGTTGACTAAAAACCTAGAACCACGGTTTTTCACATGTCTGTGTATTATTCATCGTATATCGTACTGTCTTTTTGTTCTCTTGTGCCGAACTTTTACGCCAACGCATGTAGGTATGATTAGGGTTTAGGGTTTTGACCTGAACCCCCACCCCCCTGAAACATCTCTGCATGCTGACTGTCACATGCGATTGCGTTAATGTGATCAGATTGTCTGTCCAACGGACATCACCCAGTGGGAGGCACATCTGGTCAATGAACCCGAAAGGTGCGCCCAAGTCACATGTTACATGTTCAGTGCGCTATACTTGTTGTCATTAAATACGTTAGGCAACCGATGGAAGCAGCTCGTACGTATGTATACTTTATACTCTATGTTACCACACATTGGATGTGCACCTATGAATTACTATGTGTTATCACACATTGGATGTGTACCTATGAGTTACTATATGTTATCACACATTGGATGTGTACCTGTAAGTTACTATACGCTATCACACATTGGATGTGTATCTATGAGTTCTAACCTGCCGCAAACGAATGGACATAGGGTATCATTGCTTTTGATTTCTGTTCTGTGTGTTTCTCTTGAACTTTCTGTATTGATTTCTATCACTACGTTGGATATAGTCATTAATGATTTGTTCTGTTCTGTGTGTTTCTGTATCGATTTCTATCACTCCGTTGGACATAGTTATTAATAATTTTTTCTTTTCTGTGTGTTTCTGTTGGTCCTCGATCGTTGCAGGCTCGCAGCCCATGCGCTGTATAAAGTTTTTCACAAGAAGCAAAAGAAGTACGACGTCATCCTGCAGGTGGGTATTTTTTTGGTGTTTTAGGGTTTTATAAAACCCTAAACGCCGTTCTGCAAATGGATATATTTGTAGGGTTTAGTAATCACCAATCTGCGTTTAGGGTTCATAGTGGCAAAGTCATTTTGCATATTGTCAATTGGCTGTATAATGGCTTATAGTATGCAACATACAGTCGACATTGATTAATGTTACAATTGTAGTACAACCGATTGATAAAACAGATATAGTATATCTTATGTGCATAAGACCTTTTAACCCGCAGTCGTAAGTGTATAAGACTTTTTAATCAGTAATCTTAGCTGCATAAGACTTTTTAATTAGGAATCTTAGCTGCATAAGATTTTTTAATCAGGAATATTAGCTGCATAAGACTTTTATTCAGTAATCTTAGCTACATAAGATTTTTAAATCAGTATTCTTAGCTGCATAAGTCTTAGCTGCATAATACATTTGCGTATCCTATAAATTGCTACAAGCGCACGTGATGTGCTGCACATTTCTCCGCACGAAGCTCCGTTATTCTCACCGTTATTATTCTACCCGTTTCTATTCGATATTTTTTTCTTGCTCACGGACTGATGTACCGAACATTTACACATCGACACCACTTTCGAATTTCATTGCTCGCAGATGGCGCAGGGCCTCATGGAGTCCAGCTATGACGCACCCAGGTATGCGGTGTCAGCAACAGCAGGACTATACAACCTTCGTGTCAGTTGCATTGTGCGTGTGGAATGATTGATGTGTTGTGTTGTGTGTGAGTATCATCATCATCCAGTGTTGCCACTGTGTGGGGTACCGAACTTCCATAGTGTTGTCTACACGCACGCATGGTCAAGGAATACTGTTGACCTGTGCTGTCTCGGGGGTACTACCAAGACTTGGTATACTATCACTGATGAACGCTTGCCTTGTGTCGACAGTATGACATGAGGCGTCAACCATATACAGCTGACACTGACACTTCTCCTCTTGTCGGTAAACAGGGATGCCCTCTTCCAGCGCGTTGTGAGTTCAGAGAATACGCACGTGTTTGCGGATGTTCGGTACTAATCGCGCTGATGGTATTAATTGTACGACCCAGCGCGCTCTGCTATAGAAAGCTTATCGAATGCAACCCATGGGTTAACTGAGCAAATGTTCTACGCACATTTGTTACGAACAAGATTGAATGCAAGATACAGCTTAAATGAACTTCGTCTGTAACGTGGTGCGGCGGTGTGCAGTGGCGGATTGTAGTGGAGCTCGAGGTTTCAAAGACATAGGTCACCCGCTCGTCTCTCTCGAGCACACAAACATATCTTTAGTTTACACTTTTAGAGCTAGTGACAGTAACCACTGATTAGAGCTTTTTTATTTCTCTTGAATGTCAACGTTATCACCGATAGTCTGCATAATTTATTTCTTCATTCTTGATTTAATCTGGTAATATTTAAACAAAGAATCCTTGTGCAACGCTTATGTCACGCAAATAGGCTGTGTAACTAAAGGTTCGCCATTTTAGCAAAGTGGAATGTGGACTGAAGTTTAGTATTTCAAGGGTACACTTATTTTTATACCGACACACGACATTTCTATGTTTGTATACGAGTGTGTATGTTATAGATAATGAAATTCATGCTAGCAAGCCCTAATATGAAATGGCGAACAAATGCAATACAGTTGGGTATAGTGGACTTGTGCATACTTCGACAACCCTGGGTAAAGACTGTTCCAGCTACGCGGACATACACCGATTGCTTTTCAAAAACATATACTATGAAAACTCAATATAAGTAATAAACTGAATGACGGCGTGTACAATGATTTGTTATGCAACCTTTGGTACCATCAATGAAAAATGTGTGTGTGTGTGTGTGTGTGTGTGTGTGT